ACCTGCTCTATAACCCGCTCTATAACCCTTTCTATAATCTGCTCTATAACCCGCTCTATAATCTGTTCTATAACCCGCTCTATAATCTGCTCTATAACCCGCTCTATAATCTGCTCTATAACCCGCTCTATAACCCGCTCTATAATCTGCTCTATAACCCGCTCTATAATCTGCTCTATGACCCGCTCTATAACCCGCTCTATAACCCGTTCTATAATCAGCTCTATAACCCGCTCTATAATCTGCTCTATAACCCACTCTATAATCTGCTCTATAACCCGCTCTATAATCTGCTCTATGACCCGCTCTATAACCCGCTCTATAACCCGCTCTATGACCCGCTCTATAACCCGCTCTATAATCTGCTCTATAACCCGCTCTATAATCTGCTCTATAACCCGCTCTATAATCTGCTCTATGACCCGCTCTATAACCCGCTCTATAACCCGCTCTATAACCCGCTCTATAACCCGTTCTATAATCTGCTCTATAACCCGCTCTATAATCTGCTCTATAACCCGCTCTATAATCTGCTCTATAACCCGCTCTATAATCTGCTCTATAACCCGCTCTATAACCCGCTCTATAACCCGTTCTATAATCTGCTCTATAACCCGCTCTATAATCTGCTCTATAACCCGCTCTATAATCTGCTCTATAACCCGCTCTATAACCCGCTCTATAACCCGGTCTTTAATCTGCTCTATAATCTGCTCTATAACCCGCTCTATAATCTGCTCTATGACCCGCTCTATAACCCGCTCTATAACCCGTTCTACAATCTGCTCTATAACCCGCTCTATAATCTGCTCTATAACCCGCTCTATAACCCGCTCTATAATCTGCTCTATAACCCGCTCTATAACCCGCTCTATAACCCGGTCTTTAATCTGCTCTATAACCCGCTCTATAATCTGCTCTATAACCCGCTCTATAATCTGCTCTATAACCCGCTTTATAACCCGCTCTATAACCCGCTCTATAACCCGCTCTATAATCTGCTCTATAACCCGCTCTATAACCTGCTCTATAATCTGCTCTATAATCCGCTCTATAACCTGTTCTATAATCTGCTCTATAATCTGCTCTATAACCCGCTCTATAACCCGCTCTATAATCTGCTCTATACCCCACTCTATAACCTGCTCTATAATCTGCTCTATAACCCGCTCTATAACCTGCTCTATAACCTGCTCTATAATCTGCTCTATGACCCGCTCTATAACCCGCTCTATAATCTGCTCTATAACCCGTTCTACAATCTGCTCTATAACCCGCTCTATAATCTGCTCTATAACCCGCTCTATAACCCGCTCTATAATCTGCTCTATAACCCGCTCTATAACCCGCTCTATAACCCGGTCTTTAATCTGCTCTATAACCCGCTCTATAATCTGCTCTATAACCCGCTCTATAATCTGCTCTATAACCCGCTCTATAACCCGCTCTATAATCTGCTCTATAACCCGCTCTATAACCTGCTCTATAATCTGCTCTATAATCCGCTCTATAACCTGTTCTATAATCTGCTCTATAATCTGCTCTATAACCCGCTCTATAACCCGCTCTATAATCTGCTCTATACCCCACTCTATAACCTGCTCTATAATCTGCTCTATAACCCGCTCTATAACCTGCTCTATAACCTGCTCTATAATCTGCTCTATGACCCGCTCTATAACCCGCTCTATAATCTGCTCTATAACCCGCTCTATAATCTGCTCTATAACCCGCTCTATAATCTGCTCTATGACCCGCTCTATAACCCGCTCTATAACCCGCTCTATAACCCGCTCTATAACCCGTTCTATAATCTGCTCTATAACCCGCTCTATAATCTGCTCTATAACCCGCTCTATAATCTGCTCTATAACCCGCTCTATAATCTGCTCTATAACCCGCTCTATAACCCGCTCTATAACCCGTTCTATAATCTGCTCTATAACCCGCTCTATAATCTGCTCTATAACCCGCTCTATAATCTGCTCTATAACCCGCTCTATAACCCGCTCTATAACCCGGTCTTTAATCTGCTCTATAATCTGCTCTATAACCCGCTCTATAATCTGCTCTATGACCCGCTCTATAACCCGCTCTATAACCCGTTCTACAATCTGCTCTATAACCCGCTCTATAATCTGCTATATAACCCGCTCTATAATCTGCTCTATAACCCGCTCTATAATCTGCTCTATAACCCGCTCTATAACCCGCTCTATAACCCGGTCTTTAATCTGCTCTATAACCCGCTCTATAATCTGCTCTATAACCCGCTCTATAATCTGCTCTATAACCCGCTTTATAACCCGCTCTATAACCCGCTCTATAACCCGCTCTATAATCTGCTCTATAACCCGCTCTATAACCTGCTCTATAATCTGCTCTATAATCCGCTCTATAACCTGTTCTATAATCTGCTCTATAATCTGCTCTATAACCCGCTCTATAACCCGCTCTATAATCTGCTCTATACCCCACTCTATAACCTGCTCTATAATCT